GACACACAGTATCCTGACTACAAGATAGAGAAATGAATAATAGCAGCACAAAACTTTAAAGCTGCAATCCTTAAGATGTAGGCCCTCATTGACCTCCTTTGTCAGAAATACAACAGTAGAGCAACTGGTGCATCTGTTTACAGTGCAGCCAAACAAGTCAGTCAATGATAACTGCAACCACACCTCAGCAGGACACAGTAAAAGAGGTGGAGTTGGTTATCTTGCTGAGGAACTGAAGGTGACAATATACATAGTGACAAATACACTGTGTTCTCTGTGACTGCTTCACAATAAAAGCCACCCTGCGTGTTGCCAATTGATGGCTTTTAATGTAAAGTAGCAGCAGTAGGAAAATGTTCTGTTTGCATTAGTGGTAACTTAATACCACTTGAACAAGAGAATAAACAGTGAGGCTGATATCAATTAGATACATTTGTTCTGGTCACATGCTTTTTTCTTGTGAATTGAATTGTGGACTAGAGGTTATTAGTGAATGTAAATACATTAACAGCTATTGAAGAAAACTGCAAAAATGTGCTCCGATTTCATAAAAGTCTTAAGGATTATAACTGTAAAGCCTTTGAAAACTTGGTTTCAAGTATTTCTCCAAATATTCATGAATAAATAAGCAATATTAAAGTTTAAAGAATATATTTATTTTTTTGATTTAAAAATACTAACAACTTCGTTAGAACATATGAGACAAGCTTAAGTAGGGTTACATAAACGGTTTGCAGCAGAAATTAACTACAAACTCCCAAGTTACATTTTTATAATCTGCATATTAAATGAATGCACTCTTTTTGGGGTCAACTTTGGGTGAATTCAGCAACTATGGCACCACTTTTTGAAAGCTTTTGAAGCTCATGGGTTTTGTAGTATTTAGAGCTATCTGCTGTGCCAAAAACAAAACATGATTTCTCTGAAACGAAGTTGAAATAATTCCAAGTGATGGTCGTAACGTAAACATATGTGAACATTTCTTGAGGATATTGTTGAAAGAAAAAACTAAAATGGGAATACAGAACAGAGAAAAACACTTCCAGAACAAAGCAACCCCCTCCCACTTTGAAATGTCTGATTCAAATGTTGCTAAATCCTGACTGGTGCATTTTTCCTGCCCATTTCAAACCAGTGAGAAAAGCACAGAAAAAGAAATATTTAGAAATCTCTCATGTGAAATAGCCTACATTTTCTAAGGCAGAACATGTTCATGATGTGTGGTTCATTTGGATTTGTAGTTTTTATTCGGAGGGATAAAGGAAAGCTGTGTTGAGCTGAAAAGGCTCCCTATTTATACAGAAACATAATAAGTGTCCAGCAGCGAATCATTACTGCCCACTGTGGTCAGAAGGTAGCTGTTGTTGTGTTTTGACTTTTGACGTATGATAATTTTGTTTTTCAGCAACAATGTCCTCCATCAGATCTGGGTTTCAACTTCGATGCCAATAAGCAACAGAGACAGCTGATTGCAGAGCTGGAGAACAAAAACAGGTACAATTTAACATTTCAACTTTAGTGATACATTGGAAACAAATCTGTATTTATGTTGCTGGTTGGCAGTGGTGGAAAGCAACTAAGTATTATTAGTTTAGTTAACTTATGTACTGTACTTGTACTCTTTTTGAGTATTACTTTTTATGCCATTTTAAAACTTTTCTCTGATAATATTGCACTTTTTACTCCACTATATTTATCTGTCAGCTATAATTACTACAGTTACTTTGTTACATGCAAAACAAAAGCTTATAAAACATAAAAATGTAACAACCCAGCACCATATACAGTAGTTAAAGGAATAGTTTGACATTTTGGAAGATACGCTCATTTGTTTTCTTGCCAAGTGTCAGATGAGAAGACCAGTACCACTAATAATATGGCTATAGAGAGCAGTCAATTGGCTTAGCTTACTAGAAACAGGGGGAAATAGCTTGGTTCTGTCCAAAGGTAACAATATCTGCCTACCAGCACCTCCAAAACTCACTAATTAAAACGTTATATCAACAAGTTGGGGTTTTATGGGGAATAATTTCTTCTTGACATCACTGTGAGCACACCAGGCAACCAGTGGAGTGAAGCGTATTTTTAAAAGCAATTCCTTAAAAGGTCCATTGTGTAACATTTAGGAGGATCTATTTCATAATCTATCTTTGCATAACTATGTTTTCATAGTGCGTAAGATAATAAATAAGAATTATTATGTTTTTGTTACCTTAGAAGGTGCTTTTTATATCTACAGATACAGCGTGTCACCTTCCATTGAGGCCACCATGTTGAACAGCCATGTTTCTACAGTAAACCAAATACTGGCTCTAGATAGGGCCGTTTGCGTTTTTTGCAGCTTTCACAGCCACCGTAGTTTCTCCTTTAGGCTTGGAAAGGGAGGGTGAAGCAAGGGAGTTGTAATCTGCAACTATACCGCTAGATGCCACTAAATTTCTTCCACCACTTCTGTTTAGTTAACTAGTGATTAACTCATTCAGGGAGATCCTCCAGGAGATCCAGCGGCTGCGTTTGGAGCACGAGCAGGCCTCTCAGCCGACCCCAGAAAAGGCCCAGCAGAACCCCACACTTCTGACCGAACTGCGGCTCCTCAGGTATCATCCCCGCTACCACCATCATCAAAAGAGCCATATATTAAGGAAATCAAGTAGTAAAACCACTCCCGGGCTGATGTATTTATGTAGTCGGGACCCATTCTTCAAGTAGAAAATAATGTCTTGCTAATTCAGGAGGGTGTTTCTGAATTAGCTTCACCAGCTGCAGTCTGGGCATTTATCATGCTGGCAGGACGCTTTGGGTTCAGTTCTTGGAGGGAGACGCATTACAGCACTTGTTGCCCTGAATGACTCATTGTTTGTCTGGTCTGACCTAAATAATGAATCAGCAGTAAGGTTTATGGTCAACAACCCTGACCGAGATTTAAAATTTTATTTCATTTAATGTTTAATAACATAATTTATTGACTACCCTTCAGTGCTGCTCAATTGTGTACAGTTACAGCAGAACCAGAGATGAATTTGAATTATACTGCCTCAGTTTCACCACCCACACAGTCCTTCATTAGCAAGTTAAGGGATTCTTATATCTACATGAATTATATGTATAAAAACATGTGGTAATTAAACTGTAGAATAGTTGGTTTATGTCACTGGAAGCTATATTTATTCCTCTTATTGTTTTCTCCCAGTTTAATTCAAACATATCTAGAAGCATTTTTCAGCTCACTGAGCCTGTTTGTGATTCAGGTTTTAGACCTGGGTATTATCAAGTAGTAATTATTTCATCACAGTCTTCGCACTGTGTTTGGAGCCCGGCTGGATAGTTCTGATATTGCCTTTATTCAGCCCGGGGATACTTAACAGAGCAGCAGTGTTTACAGTCTGCAGATGTTTGTGAGTTTTTGATAGGACGACTCCGATTGCTAGTTTTTTCAAAATGCAGTTACACATTGTGAACACCAGAGGGTAATAATAAGCCAGACTCCTCATCGAAAAGAAAGCCAGATATTTATATTTAATAGGGGTTACAAGCTCAAATTTCCCACGGGCCTACATTTATCTCTTTATTAAACAATGAATATAAACCTTGTACACTCTGAAGCTGAGCAACTCTTTCCCTATTCCCTCTCTCACAAAGGTCACACTGCTCTGCTTGTTTAGATTGAGTTTCCCAGAGAATAGCACCTTTCTCCTTGCCGACGAGATGAGTAATAGTTGCAATGAATTAATAACTACTCAGTTATACATCTCACTTACAACTGTCCTGTGCTCCAGGTCAGCATTTCTGGTTTTAACCCTAACTTGGTTTTAACCGTAAATCAGTTAAGATGGTTACAAGTTGAAGTACTTGTGTTGACTGTTAGTGCAACTAGGTGCAGCTTTGGAATGTTAAATGTAAAAAAAAAAAAGAGGCAGATTTTAAGTGATAATTGTAAAATAAAAGAAAGAATCACAGCAGGTTAGGGTTAGAAAATAATAATAAATTGTGGGCCGGATTTAGCAGTCAATTAAACACGTTGGGGCTTTAATAAAATTGTCTTGTGGCCAGATGTGGCACCCCAGCGGGTGGTTTGAGTGCTGTGCTTTAGGGTGACCAGATGTGAAGTAAATGTTTTTTTTTTTGTGTGTTGAAGGAACCAATGACATGGAGACCAAATGGATAAACACTATTATACTAGACCAGAGCAACAGGAGCTTAAAACAGCGCAGTGGCAGGATGCAAATGATGCAGTATCAACACGCAGTATCTGTGTGTCTGCAGCTGATCCTTTAATTATTGGATCTGCTACACAAATAAATGAGTAACCTCCTCACACATACCTGTACTGGGAATAAATCTACAGGAAATATATGTATTTGTGAAGTCATTTACAAACAAACATGCCTCCCCAAACAAAATGGAAAGAAACAATCAAGGCTTTGTTGGAGAACTTTGTCAAGAACAGTTACATCTGCCCGTGCATTGCGCTCGTTATTACTATCAGATCCAAGTATCACTTCCACCCTTGTTTTTTAATGTATCCCCAAACTTCTTCCTTGTGCCGCAGACACAGGAAGGACGAGCTGGAGAGGCGCATGTCGGCCCTGCAAGAGAGCAGACGGGAGCTGATGGTGCAGCTGGAGGGACTCATGAGGCTGCTAAAGGTAAGACGATCAACCTGTTTCTAGAAGATTTAGGTGTGATAAAAAAAAGGCCTCTGAATCAGTATTAATAGCCTAGGATGCAGCATAAACACTCACTCATTTTCCTAAATATGCTATATTTAGCATTTTACAGGTTTGTCAGTTCTAATCTCATTTATATGATTCGGTTTGTAAAGCTTGGTGGCATGTTTAATGAAATGAGATGTTGGCATGTTTGATTCTTTTAAATCAAGACATTGCATTGTTTTTTAAGTTTTGTTAATGTGCCTTATGGTGCATGCAGAAACCCCTTCTTCTTCTTCTTCTTCTTCTTCTTCTTCGTCTTCGTCTTCCGCTGCTTTAATTCTGTTGCTCTCACTCTTCTTGCTCTCTCTCACTGCTTACCTTTGCTGGCTGATAGGATGAGGAGCAGAAGCAGGCTGTAAGTTGCCCTTAATTCAGTTTGCAAGGCTCAATACCTGGCTCAGCACTTAGTTTAATGCTACTATATACTATAATACCCCCTTCACACAGATGTGATTGAAGGAAGTTTTTATAATAGATCTTTAAGAGGGATGTTAGCAAAGATAATAGGATTCCACTTTATAACTGGGTTACACTAATCTAGTCCTACTCCACCACTTCCTTGCGACAAAATCTTCAAGATCAGTTTTGGTCTTTCATTTGGTCCTCGGTCCAAACAAGTTGGGAGAACTATGTTTTTCTTAGCCCAAATGTCAGGAACCTGTTCCTTTCATCGGCACTAACAACCTCCCTTCTAATGTGACTGCAGTCTGGCCGGCCATCTGCTGCCTGGCTCCAAGCCATCGACCTGGGCCTGCACCAGTCCCAGAGACACACAGTGATCCTTTCTCTGAGATATATCTCTCGTCTCAGCAAAGGCCCAAGTTGCTCGCCCTCACATGGTTCTCATTACCCCCTTGATGCAGTAAAGGTGCACTATAGAGGCTACACAGTATATCCAGCCAGTTTAGGATTTCCAGAACGTTTCTTGCCTTGTTTTTGTTTGTTCTCCCTGTAAGGATTAAGTTCTTTAGGTCACATCTGTGTCTGTGTTTGTTTTAATAAAAGTCATCTTTAGAAGCAAAAAGGCCATCTCTCTCAGCAAAGCTGCAATCTGTGATTGCAATACGGCATCTTCCATTGAAATGTTCCAGAATTGGCTTTGTTGATGTAGAGCTTAATTGGAAAAAAGTTTTTTTTCTCTCTCTATCAGAAGCCCAGATTCACATGAACATTATTTGCTATCTATGCACCACCAATAAGTTGCCTAGTAACATCTAATCTTTTGCACCGGTCCTGGTAAAACATAAAGTATATATCTCATTCTTTTGGTGATATAGTATTTATTTGCTTATGCAAATCAAGACTGCACCAAACTCATAAACATGTTTCAAAACCAACTTTCCCAAATTATTGTGAGCCTTTTGAATAAGTAATGAAAATATGCATATTGTCTTATGTCTTATGGGATGAGTAAATATGAGTTTAAAGAAAAAGTTGTACATTTTGGTAAATATGCTTTTTATTGCTTCATAAGTTATTTGAGAGCATCAATACCTCTCATGTCCGTACAGTAAATATGAAGCTACTCCAAGCAGTTGGTTAGCATAGTTTAGAATAGACTGTTAGCCTAGCTCTGTCCAAAAATCTGCATAAGCACCTCTAAAGCTACTTTAATTATATATGTTATATCTATTTGTTTGATCTATCCACAAGCGTATTTCCCAAAATGTACACCTGTTTCAAGACTAAAGTGAGGTTAAACAAACCTGTATTGTGAGCTGACATATTTAAAAAGTTAATCAAAGAAAGAGGCATTTTCAATCTACCGGTACATGTTTTGAGGCAATATGTGAAAAGACAAATTGTAAAGGTTAAATTTTTTTTCTGATGATACTGTAACTATCGCGGGTGTTTTTATGTTGCAGTCCCAGTCTGGAGGCTCCCCTCATTCTTCCCCCAGTCACGGTGCGGGCTGCTCCATGCCCATGCCCATACGCTCCACCTCGGCTGGGTCCACCCCAACACACACACCACAGGACTGCCTGGCAGGGGTGGGAGGGGACGTGCTTGAGGCCTTTGCTCAGGGTGAGTGTGCACCACCACCTGAAACAAAGAGTGGTCATTGTGAAACTCCTGCAAATCTTTAACATACTGAGTAGTTATTTAGAAATATTTAAAAATATATAGAAGGACCCACATTCACTTGATACTTCCCACGTAATGCACTTCAACCACCTTTGCCTATTTACAATTCCATACTAAAACTGCATTTGCTTTTAGTTTGATTTTAAAATGTCTTTGTTTTCTAGGAGTACCAAGAAATCTTCGGAATGATCTATTAGTTGCTGCTGACTCAATTACAAACACCATGTCATCACTGGTGAAAGAGCTGCACTCAGGTTTGTCTATACCACATGTTTAGAGTCTGTTTTATCTCCTGGATTATGTTTAAGACTGTTTTGTTCCCCAGATTTAGGTCTCTAATAAGGAATTTAACCCGCCATTACTGAGTTATCTTCAACACATACCTTTCTCTGCATTTTTGTCATTCTTACACCTGTATCTGTATCACATTTTTGAGTTTTTACATTCACCAAAACAATGTTACTGAAATCTTGGGTCTTATTTTTAAAGTGGATGACGGGGGAGACGAGGAGGAGACCAACATGAGGAACGGTGGGGACAGAGGTAAGTCTAAGTACATGCTAATAGTTTTCTAATTGAATCTTTCAGAGCCAGCCATAAATATATAGAGTAAGCCACTCAAAAACAGAATGCAGAATTATCATCATAAAGATTTAACAAAACATTGGCCAATAAAATGCAATATTCCCTTTCTTTTTTTTCAGCTGAAGCAGAATGAACAACAAAAAGTAGGAATTAATTAATATTACATTATGCATATATAACCTAATACAAAAGCCAAGAGCGGCCGTGGTTGTAACAATGATAATAATAAAAATGATGTTATCTCGAGATCACAAGTAAGTGCAAGTAAGTACAAGAAATCACCAAAATATTGTGATAATGGGATAATTATCTCATTATCTCTAGAAAGCAAGCTGTTGTATACCTTAATTATCCCATTATCTAAAAAAATCACATTGTTATGTCGAGATAACATAATTTAACAACATAATCAACCCATTATCACAAGAAAATGACTCTGATGATCTGAAAATTATTGCAACCACAGTAATTCTTGCATATATTAACTTTATATAAACAAGTTGCCTGAAGTACATTTATTTTCTGCAACTGAACGAACAGTAGTTGGTGCTAATTATGACAGCATTGCTTATTCGTTTGTTGGATTGGAAGAGTTGGCCGCAGCTAAACATTTGCATGACACCTTTATCAGCCAATAAAATACTTATTTGGCTCTTTATAATGAGCTTCTGCTTCAACCCTCCATCCAAAGTAACAAGGCACCATGGCACACAGCCACATACTCATTTATAGCTTCTTTTTTTTTTTTTACAAATTAATTCAGACTTTACAGACTGTCAGCAGCACTAAATTTGCTCTTCTGTGTGTGTATCCAGGCACAGTTAGAGTACCGAAGCACTGAGGAAAAGACAACACCATTCCACCCTGTAAGGACAAACAGTCATCAAATGGGAAGAATCTGTAACAACAACAACAACAACAACCCCTGGCATTAGCACGTAGAGTAATGCATGCTGTAATCTAACAGGATTTCACTATGTGAAAAAAAATGATTTCTTCACACCTTGCAGGTAGCAAGATGTGTCTAATTAGCGAGTGTGTATGTTGTCCTGTAAACAAAAACTGCTGTAATTACCCAATGATTTCCCTCATGACTGCTAAGGAATGGCTTGCTGTGCTTTCTCCCCCAACTGTTCCATCGCAGCAGATCATTCTGTATATAAAATACTGTAAAACATCTGACCACGGGAACGCCCCTGACATGAAGGTGACCTCCTGTCACACACCATGTTCCCTGTCATTGCTTTTGTATAATTAGCGCTAGTATTATTATTTTGTCTTTTTTTTTTTTTTAATCATTTTTGCATGAAGTTGCACTCATGTCTGGATTTACGTACTGTACCATGCTATGCCAGCTCTTTGTGGGTTTAGGATGACAGCCGGGGTGTCAGAAGTGTCCTGCCTGAGTGTGTTTACTCACGCAACCATATTCTGAAAAAATTATTGGAGTTTTGCCATCACCATGAGGGTGCCAGGCAACCAGCGGAGACTCCAGGAAATCTCTGTGCCAGCATATAATTCACTCCTAAAAAACCACAACTTGTCTTGATTAAACAAACAAGATATAATGCATCAGAGTGAGCTTTAGAGGTGCTGCTAGTTGTCTGTTTACCCCTGTTTCCAGGCTTTAAACAGCCTAAGCTAACCTGGTCATCCAAAACCTTTGGCTTTTTTTATTCATTTTATTTCTAATGCATTGTGTTCAATATTATACATAAATGTTACCTTGGATAATTTTCAAGTGTAAAAACAAGTTGTAGTTTTAAAAGATGTTGGGGGCTGAACTATTTCTCAACCAAGCACAGTGACTTCCTGCAGTCATATTTTTGAGAGGAGGTTCCCAACCAAAATAACCCCCGCAAAACCACAACTTCTTGTTTTTACGCCTCGTTTTTATACGTATTAAACAAAGCCATAGCCAGGCTTACTGTTTCCCCAGTTACCAGTCTTTACGCTGGCTGCAGCTTCATATTTCCTCACAGACATGTGAGTGTTATTAACATACTCAAAAGAAAACCATAAGATTTAATAAAGAAACTTTTAGTTGCAGCTCTTCCCGGGAGACCACTTCCATGAATGTGTGCAGGCATATCTGTTATTACAATATGAAGACACACATAAAAAAAACATGTCCCCATTCAGACCTTAACCAGAAATAATAGCTGGTATCCAGAATACTGCGTGCGTGTAAACACACTCCTTGAGTCACATACTGTACTGCTGCTAATGTGCTCTCAGTGAGCCACCCTTGCAAATAAGAGGGCTGCGCAATTAAGAGAAACCAAGGGGCTACTCCAAACACAATGAGCCGAGTCTCGTTGTTTCCTCCCCGTCAAAACTTAACTGAACATACCTGAGTAGCTGGTAGTATTTATTGTTTCAAGTGTAGGGAAGCACCTCAGGATGTTTAAATAGTAATGAACTAGGCACTGAGTTTTAGTTGTGAGTTACAAAATGAACACTTATACAGTACATGGGGATGTAAGGTCGTAGTAAGCAAGTAGGACATGCTTTGATAGCTTTATTTAGTTAATAAAGGATTATTGAAAATGTTTATGTCCAATGAAGGTAGGTGCTCAGGGACTGCAGAGCTATACTAGGTGAAATGTGGTGGTGACGTCCTTTAAATGCTAGACGTCATTGGCCACAGAGGTTAAAGGTTGAGGATGATTAAAAACGGAGGGTTTCATTCCAAAATACACATCCACTGTTCACAAATTCGTTGTTCAACTTCCTTGTAATCCCTGTTGTAAGATTGAGTTGAAACTTCCTAAAGACGTTCATTCTATTCTCCCTTCACGAGTCAATTGGGTTAAATTTTGGAATGAAACTCTTTAAATATATAGAGGTGAAAACAACCGGAAGTGATTAAACGCAGGATAAAGAATGTGGTAGAAGGAGTTTTTTCTAAAGTGCTATTTTGGTGAAGCATGTCGTTGGATATAGTTTGTGTGTGAATTTGTGTCTTTCACGGAAAAAGCAAAGCTGTTGCAGAGGTAGCTGTCAACCAGAGAGGATGTTTGTTTTGAGACGGACAGAAATCAGGTCTAAGTTACCTTTACATTTTTGTCTTCTGGTTCAGTGTTTTTTGTCCTTCAGGGTAGCTGTTCATCTCAAGTAAAAATGAGCAATGTTTGCTTTTTAGTAAATGCAAATGTGATAAAAAGGTCTGGGAGCAGTTTTTAGAGTAATATGTTCCAGTTCTCAAAGCAAGTTGTGGGTAAAATCTGACTGAATCGAACTGAAACGCCTGAACGTTTTGTTTTGAGATTTGTACAGTAAGCCTATCCTATAAGCTAAGTATAAGGTTTCAACAACCTGTTACACTGTGTCAAGAAAAAGAACAAAAAGAGGCTCCTCTGTTATCGACGTTCTAAATGTGATGTTTTCATTCAGTTCTCTGCTCTATGTTATCATTATTGTTATTATTCTGGTTTACAGTATTAGTGGAGTATAGTCAGTGTAATGAGTTTGTCAAATGCAGATTCACGTGCACACTCACACTTGCACCCAAATATAAATTACCATGAAAAGGTTTTTAGAATTAAAGTAATGTAATTTAAATGACAACTGCTGTTTATTCAGTGAAAAATGTCCAGAAATTATTAAAAATGCGGAGGTAAGAATTTAAACTGTCTTCCCCTTCATTCTGGCCATTTGACTTCAAAGGTTAGCTTTGTTTTTGTTCTTTAAGTTTGTGCCTGTAGCTGTTCTGTAAAAGTGCTGTATAAAGTAACCATTCAGCAAATAAGACGATCTATCAGCCTTTCTGTCTGTGACTTTGTAGAGATTTTATTTATTTATTAAATGTGTTCTGGGGAAAACTGATGCTCAGCCTTTACATTTGTGCCAAACTGTTTGCAGACATCATGTTGTATTCAAATTACAGGTATATATCAAAGTATATCTGCATTAGTATGTTGTTGTTGCCCATAGTTTATTCACAGAATGCCTGGAAATGTTCACATGTTAATGTTTTCCACTGCTGGAAAAACTCACATTTAATAGAAAATAAAGCCAGAAAACACATTCCAAAACTACTGATAGACAGTCACTGATGTCATTTTAGCCAATGTGAAGGCAATACTGTATACCCTGTCAGACCAAACTCGGGGTAATACGAATAAAACACAGCCAGTCATACAGAGGTGCATACATTGTGATCCTTTTATTGTTTGCAGAGAGACAACGTGCAAAGAGGACGACGTCGGCGACAACGCTTCCCTGATGTTATTTATCTATGTATGTGTTCTGTATGGTTATGCTTCTGGTACACATTTGTTTCTCATGTTGATTTTACAAAACATAGTTTTATGTCACAAAGCCACTGTCTTTTGTAAATAAATCAAATGTGAGATATATTAAAAAGATTTAAAATATGGCTTTACAGGGTCATGTCATTATTTGTAGTGCGTTTTTGAGGTTCTTATACTTTATTTGACATTCTTTTCTGAACTTCTACTCCACCTCTTTCCAGCAGGAAATATTGTACTTTTTACTCTATTACATGATAGCTGGAGTTACTTATTACTTTATTACAATTGTTACATTGTTACTACAACATTAAAATGCCGCTCACATATAAATGTATCAGTAATAATTCAAGCAAATATGCATTTTTTCTAAACTATTGAGAAAATATTCATTATGTTCATTCAATACATGAACCAAACATTACTAACACTAAAAGTTGCAATAGCTGTATACTTAATATTGTAAAAGTAATATGAAAATAAATTACACAACAAGTAACACTTTTAGGTTCTAAATCTTCCACCATTGTTATTTATAAAGTCACTTCATAGACTATGAAAAATAAAGTGAAGTGGCCATTATAACATTATCTTAATATACAAATATAAGCACCTGATTTAAAGATCAGGAAGTGTTCTCACAGGTTTGCCAAGACCCATTCATTAGTCTCTTAAGTGCCCTAGTTGAGTTTCATTTTACCTCTATTTTGTCATCAGGTAATTTAGATGTTAAACAGAACACAAAGGCAATACCTTCTGGGATGATTTATCAAAATCACCTCACCAATGTGTTATTCAATATGACTTGTTTTTAAATAATACAGACAAAGTACTGTCAATTAATACTTTGGAGTACTTTTAGCCCTATAGTAGATTTTCATTTCACACCACTGCACTTCCAGTATTTGAGCTTTAGTTTAGTTTGTAACATTTAGTTACAAAATCAATACATAACTGATGTTGCACTGTTATTGATTAAAATACCCAGAGGTTTATAAAGTATATATCTAAAATTGTCTTCACCCTCACCAGCTACAATAAAATGCTGCTTACACATTAATGCATCAATAATTACAAAACAATAATATAATATATATCCTAATATAACACTCTGGAAGCAGGCTTTCTGCTGCATAATGAGTACTTTTACTTTGGCTGCTCTGAATCCTTTTTTATGATAATGTTTCTCAACTTTTGCTGAAGTGAAATTTTGAATATAATATTATTGATTCTTGTGCTTAAGTTAATTATTTCTTCCACCACCGAGGTATTTTATATTCTCCTGTCACCTCTTTGTGTTTATTATCCGGCCAGATAGATATAAATATTTCAGTCAGTGTGCTTAGTGTAGATCTATTTCTGTTAGACCTCAGCCCATGGAGGGCTGGAAAGAACTGTATTTCTTTGTTGTTTTAAATTGTGCTCACTTTGAAGTGGTGTGTTTCTCATGCACACTGAGGTAAATAAAACCCTTAAATCACAGTGTCTCCTGTGCCTGACTTTTCCCCTTGTTTGTCTTTTAAAGCAGAAAATGGGTAAACACTTCCTTTCAAAAGGGCAACTAAAAACAATGCTATATCCTGCTTCAACTATAAACCAAAATCAAAAACAATCTCCGGCCGTTTTCCTGTTGCTTCAGGCTCAGACAGTGGCAAAATAGGTGAGATGAGGTCGAGCTACTTTGACCTTATTAGCATCCTCCTCTGTGGGTTTGTAGGGCGATACAGAGTTTCCACTAGCTGGTATCACACCGCTCCTGACTTTAGATCATGTGGCATCGTCTTGCTGCTGCTGCTGCTGCTGTCCTCACATGAACCACTCAGTGCCATTGACTCGATGAGAAAGAGGAGACGTGGCTGCTTCCAGATCAGTGAACCACATCGGCCTGCTGCACACACATTTCCTCCCTTGAGTCATTGTCCCTCAAAAACACTCAATCTGCTCTCACAGGGAGTTGCCCTGTGAGTCTATGGCTGCGTCCTGCAACCTCACGGTGTCTCCGTCTGGTGGGTATGTATGGAATAAATGTGGGTTGCAGTGGTAGATTGGTGCTGTAGGGTTAATGGAAGGAAAGTGATAAGATATTTGATATCTTTTTCTAGCTGCACTTTTCTAGGAAAGGAAATGAAGATGTGGTGCTAAATGAAGATTCTGCTGAGAGGATAAAATCTATAAAACTGCTAAGATAAGACATACTCGCCCGCTTTGATATTTAGATTTAAGGCCAAATAAATGATTAATCCAGTGCACTCAGGAATGTAACTGTTGTACAAAAAGTAATGTGTAGAATCATTAGTATGTGAACTTGTGTATACTAGATATGTATACTAGGCAAATTACATTTCCTCTTTCTATAAGTGCAGCTATGTTGCCATTATACAGCAATATTGTGCAGAAATGACTGCGGTGTGATTGTTTGCAACCTTCACTTTCATTTGGTTTTCAACAGCTGCATAAGTTGAAATATAATGATCAAGAACATGAACTGTATGTCTCTTCTTGCTTGTTTCTAGTTTCTGTTATGCAAATGAAAATATCAAAGTAAACTTTAGTCCAAACTGAGTTTTAACACACAAGAGACACAATAATTTCCTGCTATAGT